AGAGAGAGAGAGAGAGAGAGAGAGAGAGAGAGAGAGAGAGAGAGAGAGAGAGAGAGAGAGAGAGGGCTCATCTTTTGATAGGCAGTGTTATGGATTTGATTCATTATCTGCTGAGGATAGGTACTAGCCTGAATGAATCTGGCCACAATTATGAGGTTAATTTAGATTGGATTCATTATCTGTCTAAGGATAAGGTGACTCACTGACTCATCTTTTGAAGGCAGTGTTACGAATCTGCTGAGGATAGATATTAGCCTGAATGTATGTGGCCACAATTATGAGGATAATTGGGATTGGATTCATTATCTGCTAAGGATAAGAAGTCTAATCTTTTATAGGACAGTGAGGTCTAATCGTTTATCGGCAGTGTATGTACTATGTACTATGTACTGTATGATATTCTTTGCGATAACGACCAAGGTCAGCTATGTGTAAAAGAGTGCCGTGTGAGTGGTCCAGTGCTGGTCCAGTGCTGGTCCAGTGCTGGACAACCCTGGACCAGCGGCAGACTATAGACCTATGTGCTCAGTCGATGGACCAGGCGGGGGCTCAGTCTACAGACCTATGTGCTCAGTCTATGGACCTAGCTGTATTGGATCAGCAGCAGCCTATAGACCTGGTTCGGTCGATGGACTAGGTGGGGGCTCAGTCTATAGACCTATGTGCTCAGTCTATAGACCTAGTTGTTTTGGATTGTCTTGGACCAGCAGCAGCCTATAGACCTGGTTCAGTCGATGGACCAGGCGGGGACTCAGTCTATAGACCTATGTGCTCAGTCTATAGACCTAGTTTTATCCAGTTGAATGCTCAGATGACGCATGGTGGCGTAGGATCCACTCACACTTGTTCTAGCCTGAGTGTATGTGGCCACACTTGTGTCCAGTTTCAGCTGAGAAATCCCTATTGTGAGTATACTCTTGTAGTCATTCTGTCTGCAATGTGCGCTTGCTATATGAGTCTCTGATAAGCAGTGCTTTTTATTTTCTAACATTTTTTTCCAAGTTAATTTTTTTTTCGATTCTTTGCCGGTTCGCCTATGGGGCGTGAAACCTTGTTATGACTTCTGTTGATTTCTTTTTTTTTTTTCTGAATTAAAATTTCTTCCTCTTTAAATTCCTGTTTTCTGTTTCTGAAAGCCGTTGCAGTGCTTCGGGTGGGGTTCTTGCAGATCCCTTGGCATCTGCAAATAGGGTACCCTTTGCTGCAATCCAGATTGCAATTCACATGTGAAGTCAAATAAAGAGCTTGACTGTGCCTGGACTAAATAAGGACCGGGTGGGTTGGGTAGTCTGCCAGGTGAACTGGATTGGGTGACAGTTTTTTATTTTTTTCCATTTTCACTTTCTTTTCTAAATCAATCAGGTGAGTAGAGTACTACCAGATTTTGAACAGTTTGAAAGCAGATGTTGGCTTAAGGACGGGGGGGAGGATTCCATACCTAAATATGTCAAATCTCCACCCCAGTACCTCTGCCAAGCCTTTTCCTTTTCTTTCGGGAGGAAGAGGAGGGGTAGGGAGGGGGGGGGGCGGAGATGGTCGTGTGGCGTTAGTGCTGGTGAAAGGCTTGTGAGCAGCTGGCCTTAGCTTCGGTGAAAGGCGTTGGACATACTGACCTTACCCTTGATGAAAGGCTTGAGAGAAGATGCGATTACTTTTGCTACAGGCTTGGTTTACCGTCGTTGAAAGGCTTGGTTTACCGTCGGTAAAGGCTTGGTTTACCGGCAGTGAAAAGCTTGGTTTACCATCGGTAAAGGGCTTGGTTTACCGGCAGTGAAAGGGATGGTTTACCGTCAGTAAAGGGCTTGGTTTACCGGCAGTGAAACGGATGGTTTATTTTCGGTGGCAAGCATGGTTTACCTCAGGAGAAGCTGTGGTTGTCCGTGGGTGAAAGACTTGTGAGATGCTGTGATTATCTTCTGTGAAAGGTTTTGGAGACGCTCGTGGTTTGGACTTTCTGAGATGGGGGTTCTTGGCCTCGGCAGGGGTTGGAATATTGAGGGTTTGCATTCCTTGATGGTAGATGGGGTGGGGTTGGGGGGGGGGGGGGGGGGGGGTGTGTTCTTGGGAGGGTTTGACACTCAGGTGGTCTGCTTATTTATTTAAAGCAAGACAATAAATAAGTTGAGGAGCTCAGACTCTCAGGTTTCGAGAGAACATAAGAATGTGGAGGCCACCCACCAGAACATACCTACTCACTTATACGTCTTAATGACGGGAAAAGCTGGTTCCTTTGCCTCTGACCTTGTGGGAACAGGGTGTGACATGCCCTGCCCTTCAATGATTTGGGATGCGTGAATAACAGTGTCATGTAATGTGGAGGGGTGTCGAGTAAGCTGTCATTACAAGAGCTGTTGACCAGAGCACTCCAGACTGGGTGATGGGAGATCAGCAAAGTGGAGGTAAACATACATAAGTGGAGAGGGTGTTGGAGTCTTATGTAAATATAAAGGGTGGAAAGCAATGGGCTGCTGTTTTGCATTGGCGGGTGCGACAACTCCCTTTATCTCTCTTTTTTCTGTGTATGTGTAGGTGTGTGGGTGTGTGGG